TAGATGTAAGGTTAGATTGTTTATTTGAGTTTTTTCTTGTTTCTCAAGATAGACCTGTAATGCTTTGAATTTCCCTCTTATGACTGCTTTTGTTGTGTCATAGATTTTGTGTTGTTATGTTTTCATGTGTATCAAGGTATCTTTTGATTTCTTCCTTGAACTCATTGTTAACCTATTCATTGTTTAGTAACATGTTATTTAGCCTTCATATGTTATTGTGTTCTTCAGTTTTTTCTTGTAATTGATTTCTAGTTTCACATCATTTTGCTCAGAGAAGATGCTTGATACGATTTCATTATACTTAAATTTTTGAGACTGGTTTTGTGGCCTTAACATGTGATCTATCCTAGGAAATGGTCCATGTGCACTTGAAAAGAGTGTATATTCTGCTTTTTAGTGTTAAACACTCTGCAAATATCAAAACTGTCCGGTCTAGTGTGTCATTTAAGGCTCCTGTTTCCGTACTGATTTTCATTCTTGAAGATCTATCCATTGATGTCAGTGGGATATTAAAATTCCCTGCTATGACTGTATTAATATCAGTCTTTCCCTTTATCTCTGTCAAGTTTTGCTTTATATATTTAGGTGCTCTCAAATGTTTACAAGGCTTATATCCTCATATTGGATTGATCCCTTTATTATTCTGTAATGTCCTTCTCTGTCTCTTATTTTAAAGTCTTTTTCTAAAGCCTTTGTTTTAAACTCTATTTTGTCTCATATAAATAAGCTACCTCAGCTTTTTTTTTCATTTCTATCTGCATGAAATATACATATTTTTCAATCCCTTTATTTTCAGTTTGTTTGTATCATTCATTCTGAGGTGGGTCTGTTGTACTCAGCATATATATGGATCTTGTTTTCTTTTCTATTCATCCACCTTATGTCTTTTAAAGAGCATTTAATCCATTTACATTTAAAGTTGATTATTGATAGGTATATACTTATTGCCATTTTATTTTTTATAACTATGTTCCTCTTTTTTAAACTGTTTATTTTTTCATATAGAAGTCCCTTTAACATTTCTCATGATACTGCTTTGGTGCTAATGAACAATTTTTTTAGCTTTTTCTTATCTGGGAAGCTCCTTATTTCTCCTTTAATTTTAAATAACAGCATTGCTGAGCAGAGTAGTTTTGATTGCAGAGACTTGTTTTTCATCACTTTGAATATTTTGTGCCAGTGTCTTCTAGCCTGAAATGTTTCTTTTGACATATCAGTGGACAGACTTATAGGAGCCCCCTTGTAGGTAACTGTCTTTGTTTTGCTGCTTTTAAGATTGTTTCTTTGTGTTTAACTTTTGCCATTTTAATTATGATGTGTCTTCATATGAGCCTCCTTGGTTTCATCTTGTTTGGGACCCTCTGCACTTTCTAGACTTCTGTGACTTTTTCCTTCACCAGGTTAGGGAAGTTTTTGGTCATTATTTCTTCAAATAGGTTTTCAATCGTTTACGCCTCCTTCTTCCTGTGTCCCCTTGATGTGGATGTAGTTATGCTTCTTGTTGTCCCAGAGGTTTCTTAAACTTTTCTAGCTTTTTAATCCTTTTTTATATGTTTCTCTGATTATTTTCTGCTTCCTCTTCTCTCAAATTGCTGATTTGATCCTTTGTTTCATCTAAGCTACTGTTGATTCCTTCTTGTATATTCTTCATTTCAGATATTGTATCCCTCATTTCTGATTGATTTTTTTTATGGTATTTATGTCTTTTTTAAAAAAGGGCTTATTTATTTTTAGAGAGAAGGGAAGAAAGGGGGAGAAACATTGATTTGGTTGTACCCCGAACAGGGTACCTGGCCCAGAACCCAGGCACATGCCCCAACCAGGAATCGAACTGGCACCCTTTTGGCTCGCAGGACAATGCTCAATCCGCTGAGCTACAAACAGCCAGGGCTAATGTCCTTTTTAATGTTTGATCTCTCTTTTAGTGCTCACTGAGTTCATCCATTCTTTGCATAAGTTCATTGAGCATCTTTATAACCATTTTTTGACTCTTTATCTAGTAGATTGCCTCCATTTTATTTAATTCTTTTTCTTGGGAATTCCCCCATTCTTTCATTTGGGGCGTTTTTTGTTGTCTATCCATTATGGCAGCCTCTCTGTAATTGTTTCTGTATATTAGGTATATCTGCTATGTCTCCCTAGGTGTCTTGTGGGGCTTAGTGGTGGTATCTTCCTGATCACCTGAGCTGTGTGCTCTAGGAATGTCCCATATGTGTGATACGTGAACCATCTTGTTTTAGTTGAGCCTTAATTGCTGTCTGCTCTCCTGTAGGTCAGGTTGACTCTTGGGTTGGCTGAGTATGAGGATCAACACTGACCACAGTGTATGAGCTTTTATGGGGAATTGACCCTACAACATGGAATTCGACTCAGCAGGGTACGGTGCCTGTCAAGATCTCCCTTTCGGTGTGTCATTTGTGGAAGTAATTGGGTTGTTCTCTAAATTGGTCTGAATACCATCATATGGGATGTTTGTTCTGGAGCTTCTTCTGAGGGACTCTAGTGTAGGTCAATATCAGGCACTCCTGTAACTGGCCTTGGGCTATCTGATTGGAGCTACAAAATGGTCCACAGTTTTTGGCTACCTCTGCTGGGCCTGAGTGTGTGACAGAGAGGCCAAGCTGTGCACAAAGGCCAACTTCTACCAGGACCAAGGCTAGGAGCAGGTCAGCAAAAGGCACAGGGCACCCTGAGTTCAACCTCTGCTTGTTGACTGACTGTTAGGCTCAGTCACTGAAAGAGTGGTGGTACAGTGGTAGGCCAGTTGAATGAGGCAGTTTCTCGGGTATTCACCAGCTAGGGGCAAGTGGTGTTCATTAGGTTGGTACAGATTCAAACTCAATGCCAGTTTTGGGTCTGAGGCCACTCAGCAAAAGTCCCAGGGTACACCAAGACCAACTGCCACCTGCTAGGAGCTTGCAGATTTTTGTGGTAGGGCAGGCCTTGGGGTGTTGTCAGGATGAGGCCAGCAGACTTTATCCAGTCCAAACCAATCAAGATTTGGCCCATTAAAGGGAGGGTTCTACAATGGTAGGGTAGGTAAGAAGAAAATGTTCCCCTTTCTAGAGGCACACAACTCCATCAGTCCTGAATTTTGCCCTTACCTTTTGGAGAGCCTGAGCTTGCCAGGGAAAGGCCGCTGGGTGGTGAGGAGGGTTGGGTTGTGAATCTCCAATGGGGAAGTGTGGTGCCTCTTAGGCTCTAAGGAATGTGATGGCCCTTCCCCAGAGCCACATAACTCAGTCTCTGGCACACCCTGAGTTTGCTTTGACCTCTACATCTCAGGACCAGACAACTGATTTCTCCACAGGGCTTGAACTCTGTGGGGTGGGGTGACAGAGAGTTCAGAGGGTGGGGCCATTTTATCCACCGAGGCTGATGCTGTAAAGAAGGCGTGCTCCACCCAAAAAAGATCATGTCTGTGGTGTGGGAGAATGGCTCAGCACAGGGACTCCAGCAGCTGTTCCTTCAGCTCCCCTCTGAACCACAAACCCCAGCCTATCCTCATACAACTCTAATTTGCTCTGCTCTACTACCTCTAAAGCCCAGGGTTAGTGGCTAGGAACAAAATTTTGTGCACTAGCTCTTTAAGAGCTTACCTGGGTTTCTAGCCTAGTCCTGTCTCTCCTTGGTGGACAGAATCTCCAGTGATTTTCACAGCCAGATGTTATGTGGGTTGGGGAAACCCTGCATGGGCTTGAGACCCATTGTCATAAGGAGGGATCTTTACATCTGAGATATCCCTCCGGATTCTCAGTCCCTACACAAGGGTGTGGAGACAGCCCTTTTTGCATCTCTGCCCTTCCTTCTAGTCTTGATGTAGATTCTTCCGTAAACCCTTTGTTATAAGACAGGTTCAGCTAGTCTTCAGTTGGTTATTTAGGTTGATCTATAATTTTTAGCTGTTATTCCACTACAGCCTTTGGAGGAGGTGAATTTAACTTCCACCTACTCTACTACTATCTTAGATCTTTGTACCATAATTTGTTTTAATAACTTGACTAATATGGATGGATATTTAGATTGTTTCTAATGATTTATATTGCAAACTCTAATGCAACAAACATTTTATACTTACATTTACACATACTTTTTACATATATTACTTTAGGATAGGGTAAACTTGTATTGGTATGAGAATGCTAGGTCACAAATAATATGCACATTTAGCATTTTGATAGAGGCTATCATACTGCTCTCCAAAAGTCCATCATTCTTTTTTTTTTGAGTAACAGTTAAAAATTAATTAATTGCTGAAGATCTGTTTATTTATGACAACTCCCTCAGGTTCAGTACAACCACCTAATTTTCTAAGGGATTGTACATAATTATTAATAAATCCACATTAATATCATCTTAATTAAGTTCTTTGAAGAAATGAATGAATAAATTAAATTGTGTTTTGAATTTTTCAAAAAGAGACACACTAGACCACTTAATATTTGCATATTAAGAACAACATAAAGATGTTATTTTAATGAAATGCATGAAAATGTCTACATGAAATTTATATGATCAAGCCAAAGTGTACTGTTTAATCTAAAATACATCCTTCTCAGCCCTGGTTGGGTAGCTTAGTTGGTAAGAGCATCATCCCAATACACCAAGGCTGCAGGTTTGAATCCCAGTCAGGGCATGTACAAGACTCAACGAAAGAATGTGTAAGTGGAACAACAAATCAATGTCTGTCTCTCCCTCTCTGCCCTCACTTTTAAAATCAATAAATAAAAATTAAATAAAAAAAGAAAATGCGTCTTTCTCAGTCTCACTTCATATCTTCCATAGTCCCCAATTTTCCCAAAGTAAAATTTTAGTTTAATGGAAATGGATAAGTATCCTGAGAACCAGTAGGTGAAGGAAAAGGTAAATTCAGTCCCATTTCCTGGATTAAAAAAGATAGAATCTTATATCTCAGTGAAATATCTTTCAATAATTTTTTTGAGATTTGGGGAAATATAGTGGGCTGTTTATTATGAAATGGTTTTATTCTCCTCATTCAGGCAAAGGAAAAGTTGATATTCAAGAAGATCTAAGTCAGTGGCAAGATGAGCTTTTCAAAAAAGAAAACATTAAGGATATACCAAGAATGAATCAGGTATAGTGTTTTTAAAGAAAAATTTCTAGGTTTTTGTTGTTATTTTTATGAATGTGGGTATATCTAAGTCTAAAATAGCTAACATGTTATTACAAAAATAGCTAAATAAACCTGAATATCATCTCTGTAAATATCAAATGAGCACAGAATGGAATCAAGTTATTTTTAACATGTAAATGTATCTAGTGTTTCAATGTAGTTCCTACACTATGACATTTGTACATATAGAATAGATGAATATGTATAACATATATTTCAGTGCTTTCTATTTCCAGCTTTATTAGAAAATTATATCAACAGAAAAAGGGAAAGTATTTCTTTGCTTCCTCAGAAAATTGAAGGATTTCTTGAGTGGACATAATACTAAGTGGTAGCAATCTGTTATCTGAATAAGTTTATCAATTTGGTCATGAGGTATTCTTGATAAATGCACCAGTCTGTAGCTAATATCACATAAAAAAATTATAAGAGTTAATCAGATCCCCACAGAATCTTGTTTTAAGATTTTATTTATTTATGTATTTTTAGATAGAGGGGAAGGGAGGGAGAAAGAGAGGGAGAGAAATATCAGTATGTGGTTGCCTCTTGCGCACCACCTACCAGGGACTTGGCCCACAACCCAGGCATGTGCCCTGACTGGGAATTGAACCAGCGACCTTTTGGTTTGCAGGCTGGTGCTCAATCCACTGAGCTACACCAGCCAGGACTTTATTTTTTTAAAGAGAATGAGTTTTCTTTGCATTCCTTTCATGATTTGTAAAGTGGGTGTTGCCTTTTGGGGTCCTTTATAGGTTTAAATACTTAATTCAATAATATTTACTTTGTACCCATAAGGGTATATCCCTTAAATGACTTAGCAAAATGAATGTTTTCCTTAAATTTAACTATGCTTTCCTGTAGCTCTTAAGATTTTTATTTTTTCTACTGAATCAATAATACATACAAAATACAGGTGGTACAAAAAATGAAAATTGTATCTATTTACTAAACATATTTTAGTGCCTACTAGATGACATACCCCATGCTAGGTACTATGAATAAGAAATTACTAAGATAAATCATACCCTGGTTCCTAATCATCTTGTATTTGAACCTGCTTGATGATTAGTATTGACACAATACTAAATCCATCTCTATCTTACACAGTATTCAGTCAGTATATGCCATTATATTTTTAAATTAAAATCTGTTAGTGTAGATACATAAGATTCCCAGAACTTTACCAAAATGAGAACTTTCAAATAGCTTAGTATTTCTCAATGGACTAGGTAATTTGATAGTTGAATAACTACTTTTTATAAATGAATCAGTAAGATGTATTTATTCTAAATTTTTTTTAAATCAGTACTAGAGACTAAAGAAAAAAGAAATGAAACTTAAAAGTTCGGTACAATATATTTTTATGAAGTGCATCCTTTGTATTTACTTATTATTTACAGATAAACTTTTATGGTAGGATTGACTTATAGGACTCTTGTGTTGGAATCTTTTGTTTTTTAATTGATAGATATCTTCTAAGAATGTCTATGGATTATCCAGGGACAATTAGCAAAGAAACCAGTTGATTTCTCCACTTGGGCCCACATCAGCCTTTAAAAAGAAACGTGTCCAAATGGTCACCATAGAGTTACCTTGTACTACTAGATAGGTCCCAAAACATTCTTCCCTAATTTAAGTCATCCGAGTTGAGCTGCTCTCCCTAGCCCTTTGGGTAGATCAAGGGAATCTCATCTTAATCCTTTTATTAATATTGATTAAGAATGAGTGATTTACAAGTAGGGAAATAGGAGTCTTTGCCTAACTAGACGTACCAGCTAAGCCCTGACCAACGTGGATGGCTTGGTTGGGTGTTGTCCTGCCAAGTGAAAGGTCTCTGATTTGATTCTTGGTCAGGACACATGCCTGGGTTGCAGGTTCAGTCCCCCGTCAGGGACGTGAATGAAATGCAACCAATCAATGTTTCTCTCCCTCTGTTCCTTTCTCCCTCCTTTCATCCTGTCTATGTAAAATTACATAGATAGATGAAAGATTAGATAGATGATAGATAGATAGATAGATAGATAGATAGATAGATAGATAGATAGATGATAGAAAGAGAAGAAAAAGAAGTACCATCTGACATTGAGGGAATGCTGGCAGGTATACTGGCCAGAAATTATTGTATATGTAATATACTACTACTGGGCAACAAATGAGATGATTTAAATGGAATTTTATTCCATTGCTTATATCCATCTTTCTAGAAACCAAGATTTATTTTTGAATTCATCATCAGTTCTTGTAACTCCTGTGGTGAAGGGTAGATGGTATAAATTCTAAAGAGGTGACTATCCAATTCTCAGTTCTCTTTATATTTGCTAAATCTAGTATCAGATATGGTATTTCTAACTTGTGTCTTCTAGTCACAGTTTATTCAGTTTCCAAAGACCCTTTATAACTTATTTCACGGGGACCCTGACGAGGAGTTGTTGTATCAAGCCATTGCTGTTGTAACCAGCCTTTTGCTCAGAATGGAAGAAGCTGGAAGAATATTTCATAGCCCTACATCATCAGCCAAAGGATTCTCTGGTACGGTTTGTGCTTCTGGAAGACACAGTGAGGGGGAAACAGAGAGGCCCTTGGAGAAAAATTCCTCCTTGCTCAGGGAAGGGCCTCAGTGGTCATTTGCATTTGAACAGATTCTTGCATCTTTGTTGAATGAACGGGCAGTGGAGAGGTTTTTTTTTTTTGTTTTTGTTTTTTTTTTTTTTGAGAAACCCATAGATGTAAAAGCCAAACTAGAAAATGCAAAAACTTCTCAGTTAAGTTTTAGAAACAACATTTAAATCTCTTAATAGGAATTGCCTATCAGACAACTTTACTAAGATTCCTGTAGTTGTCAGCTTGATTCCTGGGAGTAGAAATCAGGTATTTATCATGTTACCAATGTGTTCAAAGGTTTAAAAAAGATATTTAGAAACAATGAATCATTCCTTTGTGATAATCTATAATTTTTATATTCTCTAATACAAATGTCCTTTTTAAATTTTTATTTTTCAATTACAATTGACATTCAGTATTTGTGTTAGTTTCAGGTATACAGCATAGTGGTTAGATAATCATATACTTTACAAAGTTTTCCCCCTGATATTTCAGTACCTACCTGGCATCATATAATTATTACAATATTATTGAAAGTATTCCCTATGCTGTACTTCACATCCCGGTGACTGTTCTGTAACTACCAGTTTGTACAATACATTCAACTTTACAAGACATTCAATATCAAGGCAGTATACTAAATGATACCATCAGAGGGCGCCAACATATCACTTTTGGTAAGGACATCACTAGTCTGTGCTGCTGTTTATATATGAATTACTGATAATTTTGTAAATGTGGTATTATGTTTGAGTATTATTGATGATGATGTGCCATACTGATAAATGCTACTTCCCAAATTACTGCAGTCCTATTAATATGCTTTAGAAAACCAAGCTCTTAGATTTATAACCTTAATTAAGATATCTATAAGATATGGGGGGGGGCTCATTTTCAAGTTGTCAAACTGAAATAATATGAACTTTTAAAAGTTAATCATCTAGTCTTTTAATATTAAAATTTTAAAATAATTTCCGAATTCTTTCTACCTGAGCACTTCAGAAGCTGCTGAACTCTATTACTGATAAAAACAAGTCAAGAACTCAAAACTTTGGGCTGATATAAGGAAAAGCAATATTGGATTTGGATTTAAGCTGGATAAAGCCAGCCTTTTCAGAAAGGTTATGAAACAGTTCAATTAACTCTATAGGTTTCTCATTAAACTGAAAAATGTCTTCAAATTCTTCTGAGCACTTCAGGTTGTGGCATTTGTCTCAGAATAGCTTGTGACTGCTTTGGTTCTACTATTAGATTTTAGATTTTAACCAGTCATGTTTTAAATTAGTTTAGATAAACTGAATCACAGTAGCCTGGCAAGTTCATAAAGTATACTTGTGTGTAACGATTGTTATAGAAATGTATAGAATTGCTGGTATCTAAAAAGTTTTGACTATCTGATTTATATGTATAGTCTCTATATACTTTATGCTGCTTATATATATCAATCATTACAATGAAAGTTCATGCAGAAATAATGGGCTTCATTAGCACTTTAAAGAGAAAAGCTAACTACACTTCTGATAGCAATTTATTAATTAATTGACTTTGGAATTGTGGGGAGAAATAATCCATTGGGCTTCTTTCTTCAAAAAAGACTGGTTTTAAGCCCTTTGGCTCTCCAGATGTGAAACAGTAAAAGGGTAGACATCTTTTAGAGTGACCCAACAAGTCTTCCTTTCTGAAATAAATTGGTATAGTCAGCCTTTGATGAGAATCCATTGTGAACAAGGCCTAAAACAGAGAGCTTGGTTACCATAGAATTTATTACTTTCAGAAAGATTCAAGAATTTTTAAATATATCCTTTGAAAATTTAATAAATTGGACTTGACCAAACACTTACTAAAATGTCTTTAAAATGATTTGCTCAACCCTGTCTTTTCAAGGACTTTACCATTTAAACAGATAGTTGGTAAATAGGACCTATGCCATTTCTCAGAAGTGATTTGCTGAAACATCTCCACATTTTAGAGTTAACAGTTTATGTATAAACTACCCAGATTTGCTATTGTGCAATGATTGATAAGTTGGACTTTAGTAGCTCTAGAAAGACACAAGGCTCTATGCTTATATACAAAGACACTATTGCACATATTTTGTTGAATATTTTGCCAATTATATTTCCCAAAATATACTTTCTTAAGAGCATATGCTATTAATATTTGATATTTTAAAGTCAGATATTAAAGATTACCTTAGTATTATATTATAGCCTAGATTAATTAAAATTGGATACTTAAAAAGAGATTTTTGAGTTGCAAAAAAATATACATGCAAGTTTTAAAAAACATTTATTTTCTGAGTCTGTAGGAGAAATAAGTTAAACACATAGTTTTATACTTGCTACCTTGTTGAACAATAGGTTGTTCTTAGTATTAAAAATCTTACATAGGTGTGTCAAACTGAAGGAGTGCATTACACCTTATACATTAAATTAAATATGTTACAAGGTAGCTTTACTTGTCTTATAAAATAAGTATTATAAATCTATTGTAATAAACATGAAAAATGGTTTACTTAAAGACATTACTGTTATTTGTCATGATGTATATTTATTTACACTAAACTCAGTTATCACTTGAGAACTTCCTTCCTATATTAAGTTTCAGTTTCAGAGAACAGAATTCACTCTAATAATTAGTTTAGCCAGGATAAGATTTATTATCAGACATTAAGTGGCTTACAAAATTATCAAGAGAACTGACTCTAAATTGAGCTTTCTAGAACTTCCGAAGCTACACCATGGAACCAGGCCATAATGAAAACCCAACAATACAGTTCCTACCTCCAGAACCATGCTCCACCTCCTTTAGTTTACACCACCAGCAAAGTAGATACCAAACCTCTCAGTACCCATAAGCTAGTCACTAAATAGCAATAGAACAACCAAACATCTTCATTACCATGTTTACCAGTAGAAATAGCAGAAGCATAGCATCCACCTCCCTTCTGTCATTAAAGTCTCTCAAGTTTGAAATGATTCTATCATTTTTAGGTAGGCCTGTATTGCTGTGAACTTCCCTCTCAGGACTGCCTTTGCTGTGTCCCATAGGTCTTGTACTCTTGTGTGTTCATTTTAATTTGTTTCCAGAAGCTTTTTGATTTCTTCTTTGATCTCGTTATTGACCCATTCATTGTTTAATAGCATGCTATTCAGTCTCCATGAGTTTGAATGTTTTTGAATGTTTCCTCTTGAGGTTGGTTTCTAGTTTCAAGCCCTTGTGGTCCGAGAAAATACTTGTTATGATTTCAATTTTCTTGAATTTGTTGAGGCTTATTTTGTGTTCTATCATGTCATCTATCTTTCAAAATATCCTATGCGCATTTGAAAGGGATGTGTATTTTGCCTCTTTGGGATGAGAGGTTCTATCTATATCTATCTATATCATCTATATCTATCTATATCTATATCTAATCTATATCTCTATCTATAGATCAGTTAAGTTCATCTGATCTAGGGTGTTGTTCAGTGCAAAAATATCCTTGTTTATATTTTGTTTGGATGATTTGTTCATTGTTCACAGTAGGATGTTAAAATCCCCTACTATCAGTGTCTTCCTGTCTACATCTTCCTTGGAGGCCTCCAAGATTTTCCTTATATAATCTGGTGCTCCTATGTTGGGTGCATATATATTTGCAATGTTTATTTCTCCTTGATGGATTCTTCCTTTGAGCATTATGAAGTGTCCCTTTGGGTCTCTTTTTATGGCCTTTGTTTTGCAATCTGTTTTGTCTGACATAAGTATTGCTACCCTGGCTTTTTTTATTTTTCCTATGCATTTGTTTGGAATATATTTTTTCCATCCTTTTACTTTCAATCTGTGTAGGTCTTTTGTATTGAGGTAGGTCTTTTGTAGGCAGAATATGTGCAGATCATGTTTTCATATCCATCTAGCTACCCTATGTTGTATGATTGTAATATTAATCTATTTATGTTTAAAGTTATTAATAGGTACTTATTCACTTTTTTCCCTTTGCATCTGTGTTCCCCTCTTTCTCACTCTTTCTATTCACCTTCTTAAAGCAGTCCATTCTGCATGTTTTACAATGCTAGGTTAGTGGAGATATATTCTTTTAGCCTTCTTCTGTCTGGGAAATGCCTTTGTGTTGTAGCCTCTCTAGGCTGGACAGGTCCGCTCGGGGGTTGGGTAGATGAAAGAAGATGCATGGCGCCCTGGGGATGCTTGGCATGCCTTTATTCAGGGGAGTCACACAAGCACAAGCCTTGTCTGGGGAAATCACACAGGCCACAAAGCCTGTGTCCATGCTGCACACAGGCCACAAGCCCATATGGAGGGAGACACACAGGCCACAAGCCAATGTCCAAGTTGGTGCCCCGACTCCCCATCTCATCCAAAGCTCCTAATTCTTTTATACTACCCCCAAACAAAGCAGACAACAGGCCAGGAATGTGAAGTAACTATCATTGGCTGCACATGCGAGTCTACTCAAGGCTACAGGGCAGTTTATTGCACCTGGTCTCAAGGCCATGAGACCAGGCTCAAGGCTGTGGGAACACTGCTTTATCAGACTCCTTCAAGTTTGTGAGGAGGTGCTCCCTCCAGATACCCACACATCTAGGTGAGGGAGCCAGACCAGCTCCACATACACTACATCCTTATTTTGCCTTTTATTTTATTTTATTTTATTTTATTTTCATTTACAATTTTAATTTTTTCTATTTTATTTATTTATTATTTAAAGTTTTTAAATTTATATATCCTGTTTATTCTATTACAGTTGTCTCTATTTTTCCCTTTTACCCCACTCCCCAGATGCCACCCCCAACCCCCCCTCCCATAGTCAATTCCCACTCTGTTGTCCATATCCATAGGTCATTCATACACCTTCATTGACTAGTCCCTTCCCCTTCTTTCCACCATTGACCTCTTTCCCAATCCCCTCTGGTCACTTTCAGTCTGCTCCATGTTTCCAGGCCTGTGGTTTATTTTGTTTGTTAGTTTATTTTGTTGACTAGATTCCACTTATAGATGAGATCATATGGTATTTGTCTTTCATCAATTGGTTTATTTCACTTAGCATAATATTCTCCAGTTCCATCCATGTTGTTGCAAAAGGTAGGATCTCCATTTCTTTCTTTCTTTCTTTCTTTCTTCCTTTCTTTCTTTCTTTCTTTCTTTCTTTCTTTCTTTCTTTCTTTCTTTCTTTCTTCTTTCTTTATGCAGA